TCCAAAAAGCTAGAAACAAAAATTAGAAGTTGATGATTTTATTACTTGGAAAAAAAATACTGAACCTTTTACATGTTTCCAAGTTTTCTCTCAAATGCAATTTTGCAAACAACAAAGTACTGATCACCTTGTGCAGTAGAATTAATTTATTATTTATAGGAAGTTATTAAGAACCTGAAAGAACTGCAATCTGAAGCTATTACATGGACAATGGCCCCCCTACTTTAAAGGAAGGGAGGCAATTCACTATTGCAATTAATATACTTTAAAGTTCATGCTAGTTAACAAAGATGTAAGGGATTTCAGTTACATAACTGTGTCTTCTGCACACTGACTTTGTGACACTGGAGGCTTAAGTCATTTATTTCAAAATCGAGGTGAAGCATAGGATCAGAGGGATCAACAAGCAGTCTCTCATAAAGAGGAGGGTCACTGAAGCACAGGCAATGCCTTCGCACAAACCTGCATTTGAGGGTAGCAGCCTGCATCCCAGCCGGGCAAAGGCAACAGGCTGCTACCAACACGGACAGGCCAGGCCAGGCCAGGCCAAGGGGCACCATGGCCAGCCGAGTGGCCAGCCCACCACCCATCCCCGGCCGCTACCTGCTGGTGTCCAGGGAGAAGTAGCACTCAGGCAGGACGTGGAGGCAGCGCTGGAAGAAGCGCACATGCCGCTCCCGCAGAAAATCCAGAGACTCCACCTCCCCTGCATCCAGCACTAACAACTCTGCCGCCATCTTGCCGGAGTCCGGCGCACTGTGCACGTCACTGCTAACGTAGAGTGCCTGTGCGGGAAGGGGGCGGGGCAAATACAAAAATAAGAAGTGAAGAAACACTATAGCATTTTCCTGGGACAAGCAGCGCACTTCATTTAGTTGTGCTAATTGCTAATTACTAATTGATAAGCCCATCCCTATAACAGTCATGCTAGGTAATGGTGGATGTTGTTATCACAGAGATCTTGTGCTGGTGAATAAAATCGACAAACTAAAGCCCAGTGGTTGTTGCCCCTCTGGATTACTTTACTGTCTCCTTTAATGAGCTAGCACAACCATTTCCATCTCAAAAGGATTCTTAAAAGGAATACTCTTCTATTCAGAAGGTAAAAATTCCCAGTGGCTTAGCTAATTAGCTAATGAGGATGTTAATTCCCACTCCCCCCTTATAAATGTTTATTTCAATTAAACAAGTGACTCATTCTGTGTAAGATTCAACTGATTCACAGATTAAAGGAGCCTTACACTAAAGCAAAGGGTTACCACCTTTGTTTTTTGCAACAATACAATTATAGTGACTTAAGCAGTCCATTCAAGTCTTTGGTTTACACCAGGTTGTACCAAATCATTTTAACCTACAGCTCTCTACTTTCAGTGAACCTGGGCCTGCAACAAAACATCAAAGCTAGATTCTATATACAGTTCTGTCAGCATGCTTCAGTCCCAGTTTGGAAAACTTCATAGAATCATAGAATGCTTAAGGTTGGAAGGGACCTCTAGAGGTCATCTAGTCCAACCCCCTGCACACGCAGAGTCACCTAGAGCACGTGGCACAGGACTGCATCCAAGCGGGTTTTGAAGATCTCCAGAGAAGGAGACTCCACAACCTCTCTGGGCAGCCTGTTCCAGTGCTCTGTCATTTCCTCTAGTTCTGTCGGTGGCCACCAGTGAAAAGAGGCCAGCACCATCCTCCTCACTGCCTCCCTTGGGGATCTAATCAGTGTCTATAAGTACCTCAAAGTTAAACAGCTATCTAGAAAAGGCCTATTTTGCAACTGTACAAAACTGGTTCAGAATCTGAATAATTTAAACCAGCACGACTTCCCCATAGACACAAACTGAACGCATAAGTTTAACTTGGCTTTAAAACAAAAGCAAGCAAATTGAAAAAGCTAAATTGATACCATTGTATCATCTAAAACTCTTGGTTCAGTTTTCATGTCTTGTTAGTTCTTGGTATCTTACTGACGCTTTAAGAAAGAAGGCAGTGTTCATAGTATAAGCATTGAATAAATGAAATTAGATGTGTTGTCTGTAACACTGTAAAGCCCTCAGCTAGCAAAACATCAGTGTGAGCTCCATACACAATAGTGGAGTACTGCAGAGAATGATTCTTTCAATGTTCATTTCCCAAAAGTTGAGATATCAAAGTGAACATGCTGTTTAAGCATTTTCCACAAAATATTTCAACTTGCACTTCAAGCCATCTAGATGGTTAGAAATTAATTGCCTGTAGACTCTGCTCTGTGACCTCTTATCAGATGACAAGGGAGCTACATCTACACTGCTTTGAAATACTAGTATTATTTTAAATAGGAGAAAGGCTGGCATTTAGAAAATACTCGACTCTCAACAGCCTGAAGAAACAAATCGGTACTGGCTCCAAGACAGAATAAGCTGCCCTACTTCCACAGACAATTAAAAGAGCTTTCAACCTTTCTTATACTCCTCCCTTCTTAAATCCCCCTTCTCAGATGCCTAGAAAAGCTGGCAGGCTGGAGAAGGAGAATCCTGAGTGCGCTCTTGAAAGAAATAAGGGATTTGGGAGTCACTATTTTCTTCCCCCCCTTAAGGATGGAATTAGTCCTAAAGTAGAAGAGATACTATAGGAAAATATGCATACCAGCTCAAAGTACCATTTAAACTATGAATGCCCATTATCCAAAAAGCTGACAAAATATAACTACGAAACTTCAGTGCTTAAAATTCTATCATAGAATCATAGAACCCTTAAGCTTGGAAGGGAACTCTAGAGATCATCTAGTCCAATCGCCCTGCACACACAGGGTCACCTAGAGCACGTGGCACAGGACTGCATCCAAGCAGATTTTGAAGATCTCCAGAGAAGGAGACTCCACAACCTCTCTGGGCAGCCTGTTCCAGTGCTCTGTCACCCTCACTGTTAAGAAATTTTTACTTAAGTTCCTGTGGAACTTTTGGTGCTTCAGTTTCCGGCCATTTCCTCTAGTCCTATCAGTAGCCACCACTGAAAAGAGGCCAGCACCGTCCTCTGCACTCCCTCCCTTGAGGTATTTATATACACTGTTTAGATCCCATCTCAGCCTTCTCTTCTCCAGGCTGAACAGGCCCAGCTCCCTCAGCCTCTCCTCATAGGACAGATGTTCCAGGCCCCTGATCATCCT